GTTATACCTGAGCTATTGAAATAATAAAAATGTTGATGTTTAGTTTCTTAAAATCAGTTACATTCGTATTGCACATAGTCAGCCACTTTAAATTCTAAGACTATTTAGTGATTATTCTCAAGTATCCAACTAGTCTCATACATTTGTTGGTAAGTATGAAGACTTTTTTAGTGAGCCGTCTCAATAAGTCCAACTAGCCACATACATTTGTTGGTAAGTGTGACGACTTCTAGAGAGCAATCTCCATGTATCATACTAGCTATGTACCTTTACTAGTAAGTATAAAGACTTTTGTAGTGATCAGTCTCCATGTATACAACTAGCTACATAAGTTTATTGGTAAATATGAAGACTTCTAGTGATCAGTCTCCATGTATACAACTAGCTACATACGTTTGTTGATAAATATGAAGACTTCTAGTGATCAGTCTCCATGTATACAACTAGCTACATGCGCTTGTTGGTAAGAAGACGTCTAGTGATCATTCTCCATGTATCCAACTAGTCTCATACGTTTGTTGGTAAGTGCGACGTGATCAGCCTTTATTTATCCAACTAGCCACAAATGTTTGTGGGTACGTATGACGACCTCTAGTGATCAATATCCAGGTATACAACTAGATAAACACGTTTGCAGTAAGTATGAAAAGCAAACAAAGCGCAGTTTCTTCTTTGCCCATGAGTTCATAAGTATTAATCAACACTAATCACAATACATTTATTACGACTCTATGATCTTAAATTAATAATAGAAAAGAGTGACAAATAACCACAAATTTTGTAAAATTCAACAAATAATTTCTTTCCCAAGAGTACAAAGTGAAAATTTAAAAAGAACGTGCTTTATTGCAAATGGGCTCCAAAATAGTCCAAAAAGTTCCGGCACCAATCCGAATGAATCAAGTTCTAAATACATTCCATTGTTGTACTAAATAAAATCAAACACTGAATGTGTTGATGTGTATTCAGTAGCATGTGACGTGGAGATTCGCCAAAAGTATTTTGATGAATCACATTAAAAAAACAAGTCCTTGTTTGAATTCACTATAATTCTAAGTTAATGTTTGTAATCAGGAATATTATTGAAGAGCACTTTGTACTTCCAGTGAATAGCAATTTGAATAAATAATTCATACCAAGTCAAAAATTGAACACAACAATCCAAGTGATTTCCGCTTCAAATGTTATAACAGGAATTTTTTTTAAGTAAAAAGAGTATATGAAAAGACACAAAAGATGAACCAGGATGTAGGTCCCAATTTCATTTCTAAGATGTAGACAAATAAAATCTTTTACTAAAAGTAAGATAAAGAATGTGGTCAGCATCATGTCCTTGACTCAGACCTAGATAATGATCAAAATATTGAACCTACAGATCTAGGAAAATATTCATCATGTATTATTTGTTTACAAAATCAAAACATCAGTGTCTCTTGTCAGGAAGACGGTGAATTTGATTTTGGACAAGGTCAATTGCAAAATACAATTATACATAACTTATAATCAAGATGAAAAGGCAAACAAACACAACTTATATATAAATAATGACTTTTAACAAAATGAGTTTTCCTCCAAAACGTTCAATCATGCCCTTGTACTGGAAACTGATTTTAAATCATTTTCAGTCATGTCGTCACTAATTCAAAGGAATCATATCGTTCTGTAAGATCATGTCTTTTTAAAGCATTTGATAATCATCTAAGCTTTGAATCTTTCCATTGACTTCTGCCCACGAAACTGGATGCAACACTAGCCATAGCATGGAAAAATTTATAACATGTTTACGGAAAAGTTGTATCACATGTTGGCACATGACCGCTCTTTCTGACCATGCTGGAGCCTTCTTCAATTATGCGTGTTATAGCATTCAAATAACCATGGTTATTCACTTTATGTTATAAAGGATTTAATTGTTACATGCCTTCCACTTTAATCTGTACAAACTCTCTGAAAACGCTTTCTCACAGCTCCAACGTTATCTCTGAATCCTCTTGTCTTCTAAACTGGATAATATACTAGATTGATGAGGGAAGGTAGTGACAGACCGGATACTGTTTGGTAGGTTTAAGTGAATTGTATTTTTATACTCTAATTCGTAAAGCTTCACTCTATAACTAAATACTATATACTTTCTCCTTTCCCCCAATAGATAAATTATGTTGTCGCTAAATATTCAGGAGTGGGTCCCAGCAGATATTTGGGCTATTACCCTTTGAACGTCTGAAACTGACCGATAGCCAGAAAAAGCTAAGTGTTTTTCTTTGAATTGCTGATTTGTTATTCTACTTGAGCTTGAAGTATAATGAATGGCATGTCAGTTATGTCGATGTTGATGACATGTCGATGACATGTATAGATGTGCACATCATGGACATCTTTTGATATGTAAAGGCGATGTAGTCCTACATCACGATTGTTACAGGGTATGGCATCACTCTTGTCTCAAGGTGCAGCTTTACTTGAGACTTAATTTAACTTTGGGGAATGAACCTGTGCCATACTGTTACAACTCTGGCTATAAACTAAGTAACAAAGAGAAAAAAAATACTTTTTGTAAAACATAACAATTATTGAGTTTACTTATCAAAGATAAAAAACAAATGTAAAAGGGACTTACAATATTATGGAGAAAAAAAATTAATAATATCACATTCCATTCAAGTCTAAAAGAATCTAATTTCCTGAATAAATGTCAGATCCTCCAATGCACTTGTCAGCCAACAGTCTTGATGTATCAACATGACATTGCTCAGAACTCCTTTGAATAATCCACAATGATCATAGAATAATAGTTTAGTCCATTAGGCACATACATAGCAACTGCAATGAATAATCTAAACAAATGTTTCCTCTCAAATAATATCTAAACACACCAATAAATAGCATGAAGACTGATTAACAATGTAAGTAATAAAACTGAATAAAATTGTACGCTCCATGTACTTATATACTAGGATAAGAAGTGAAAGTTCACTAGGCTACTAATTGCTACACCATGTTTTGCAAATATTTCACATAGTATTTAATTAATGGGACCCTTCCATGGTTTCTTTTGGAATTCCCATTCTCCGTGAGCATCTTTGTACACTGAACTTAATTGTGCACAAGAGCGGTAGCAACATGGTACCGTGTTTTGATCGGAAGTCACACTCGTTTTTTGTCGAGACTCTGGTGCACTTTCTCCAAGTGTAAACTCCCACCCCATCCCCAACAACATAAATCTGAAAAGCAAATAATTTTGTAATGGTCGACCATTGTTAACACGTTAGCCTTGATCCTGACGTGACTTTAAGGCTTTTTTCAATAAATAAGCGTTCACCTTTTAATAACTGGAATGGCAGTTAAAGGTCAGTCCTGTATCTCTGCATTTGGTAAGAAGTCATACTTTGTTATCTTTGTATTGGTAATGACAATATTTAGGTTCACCACATGCAAAACTAAAAAAAAAGACCCCAGAATGTTCATACCGCTAAGCATTCTTCTTCAAAGTGGAGGTGATATCTTTCAGGACGATTGCTGTACATGCAGCTATCTGTCTCAGACGAACGGACATGGTCTCCAAAAGGTTCCAACACCGAAAACATTTTTAAACGAGCACTGGCTGTCACATAAGCAGCCATGATGACTTTGGCAAACTCATCTTGAGAACCAGTTTCATGGACTCTTAGTAATTCACGAATATCAAATATTTGCATGATTTCGCGAGTCTGATACATTTTCCTTTATTCTCGATGTTAGTATTGGCTTGTGTCCACATGTATACCTTCTCAGGTAACATCATATGTTGGCTAATTTTTCTCACAAACAACTCGACATGACTTTGGTCTATTCCACGTGCTCCAAATTATATCGACAGCACTGTTTATATTGATCTTTTCCTTCTGGCACCAGGAAGGACAGCTGCTTGCTTCTTGTTTCGATTCAGAATTTCATCGACATGGTCTTAAAAATGCATCGACTGGAGTTATCGTCCACGGTCATGTTGTATTGTTCTGTGGTAGTGAAATGCCAAATTTCGTAAACTTTTATCAGATGGTATCTACGATCGAGTATGAAACAATTCGACATTCAACTACATTCCAGACAAGGCGCATTCTTGGACATCGTGGCGACAAGTTGGTGTTGATTAGATGTTTCACCACACGTATAACATAATGGAAATGAAATATCAGTTGTAGTAGCAATGGTGATGCAACAAGGCCTGGTACAAGTTTGTCGGTGGTAGGTGATTTGGCAATAGTAGAAGCTTTCCTTCAAAGGATCGATACCTCCGTGCTCAAGAAATAACCAAACGTTTTCACAACATCGTCACCGAATGTCGATATTAGACCGCCAATACTTTGACACTTCGTTTTGAAAATCAGAAAAGTTTGAAGAGTATGTTTGATACCAGGCATGTAAAGCATCATGCTGATCTGTTCGACCATAGTTGAGATCATAGAAGTGGACAGATGCAGAAGGTCAACGTGTTGATTTTCTTCAAACTTCCATACTATCATGCATTGAGAGAAAGAAGTGAATAGGGTACAATTGCATACTCACATATACCAACATACACTAATATAGACATGCATATTTACTCATCCATTTAAAACCAATCACTCTTCATTATTTGAGGATATGTGTGGATTTTATATTTTAAAATTCGATGTGGTCATGTTTAATAAATCTATATTAAAAACGTTAGTATCGGTATGTCATTTGTTTTGTAGGATGAAACACACACACACACACACACACACACACACACACACACACATAAACACACGCACACACACAGTTTATACTAGAGCGAATTAGTGTTTAAGAAATCAGGCAATCATTTGGGTTACATATATTTTCCAAGAGGACCGTTTGTGTAGTTATAGTGATAGTAAGTTACAAAATATATTCTCAATAAGCACAAACACTCTATAAACAATGTTCTGCTTCCAAGAACTCTGCATTCTACTGTTTTCAAGCACTAACAGATATATCTGTCTCTTACATTCATTCTATCTGTTCTGGTGGCCTAGTGGTTAGAGCGTCCGCCCCGGATGCGAGAGGTCGTGAGTTTGATTTCCGGCTCGAATCATACCAAAGATTTATAAAAATGTTACAAACAGCTGCCTCTGTGACTGGTGGATCATGCTACAATGAAAAATTGTTAAATCTCTCTCTCTCTCTCTCTCTCTCTCTCTCTCTCTCTCTCTCTCTCTCTCTCTCTCTCTCTCTCTCTCTCTCTCTCTCTCTCTCTCAGCTGCCTCTGTGACTGGTGGATCATGCTACAATGAAAAATTGTTAAATATCTCTCTCTCTCTCTCTCTCTCTCTCTCTCTCTCTCTCTCTCTCTCTCTCTCTCTCTCTCTCTCTCAGCTGCCTCTGTGACTGGTGGATCATGCTACAATGAAAAATTGTTAAATCTCTCTCTCTCTCTCTCTCTCTCTCTCTCTCTCTCTCTCTCTCTCTCTCTCTCTCTCTCTCTCTCTCTCTCTCTCTCTCTCTCTCTCTCTCTCTCTCTCTCTCTCTCTCTCTCTCTCTCTCTCTCTCTCTCTCTCTCTCTCTCTCTCTCTCTGGTCTATGTGTTGTAATAAACTGAACTGACCCTATCCTATGTATACGTATATAGAAGTCAATGTAAAGGTCAATGCACTCTCACTAGGGCGACAAAACGTTACAGACTTTAGTGCATCATTTCTTTCCGCTCGATTGGAGTCGCCCAGCATTTGTATAGACAATTTTTTCTTACTTAACAAATAAATAATACTCTACGTACCGTGAGTAACTTCGAACTACTTTGTTCTGAAATTTTTAAACCTGAACAGAAATTGACACAAATTCAAATGAAATCGTCGCTTCACACAAAATTCCAACTTCGTTTTAAAATGTGCTAACTTGTCTCAATAGCTCTTGGGTCGTTTTTTTTTTTTCTTTCTTTTTTACAATCTACAACACATTTGTATAAAATTAACCGACCTTAAGAAAGGCTGTCAGTGTTATAAATCTACATATAGTACATATAGTCTAATTTGTAACAAACTTGAGACACCAGATCAGTCGCATAAAATAGCAATATAATGGTTCACCTTGTTTTAGTGAAAAAATAAAAACCCTCGTGACTTAAGGATTTTACAACAATGGAAGGACTGTAAAGTAAGTCAATGCTTATCCTTCAGTATGTTTATACTCTCCATTCTGATGAATAAGTGTGTGTTTGTTCTTCTCTACATTCTCTTGAATCGGTGTGTGTTCTTCTCGCCATTCTGTTGAATGTTTATAGAAGACTAGGTCTAGAGTATATCCTACGCTTTTCTCTTTCTACATGTCCTGCACGACAGTATAAAGGTATGTTTGTGTTTGAATGGTAAAAGTAGACCATTGTATGTCCTTGTATTTTCCGTCCACTGTGTGGATATTTATGTGAGAGCAGTATAATAACTGAATAATTCAACTTACCGCGATACATATCAGAGACGTATTTGTATTACGGACCAGCAATTTAAATGTTCTGGACACTTTTTATTTCATTTCCGTCTGTCAATAGATGAAAATATATTTTATTCTCTTTAAAGCAAATTAACATCTTATTATATCCTTGGTATTATTTGGGGTAAAATTATTATCTTAAGAGAAAGGACAAGAACGTATTTCTGCTCAAAATTAAGCCACGCCCCCCCCCCCGCGTAAAAATTAAATGGCCAGTATTACAGCAGATGAATTTGCTATGTTTACGTTGTTGTTGCATAAGATGTAATCTAAAAGCTGTAAATAAAGTGCGATGATTGAGCGTACACTATAGTTGATAGATACATCGTGCTGACATTAGAGGGTTTGTTAATAAAAATAGGAAATGTTGATGCTGAAACCTACTATTTCCAAGCTACACCATCGATATAATAAGCAGGGAAACTTTGAGTGGGATGCTAATACTGGAGAGATGGTATTCATCAGAGACGCTAAGTAACCATAAAACACACGGAACAAACGTGAAGACATTTACGCAAGGATCAGACAGAAAACAAGTGGGCTTCTGAAAATCATAGGGTGACTCGCAGTCTTAAGAAGGAAAACAATATACTTAACAAATTCATATACGCCAGTAAATAACTAAAACAAGCAAACATTACTTTTTCACTAAATTTATCAGAAGTTGAATTTTGCCCGAATATGTTTCATATCATTTCGTTTAGTCATCGCTTTAGCATACGCCATGATACGCATTAAACATGTCATTAAAAGATGATAAACATAATTATATTAGTAATATCTATCATTAATACGACAGATACAACAGTTTTGTTAAAAAAAAAAATAATTTTAAAAAACTTCACTGTCGTGAATGATGAGAATGCGCTAAAAAAAGAACATTAATTATTTGCTGGTTAGTGATTTCATTGAGCCCAGTAAAAGTGACTGGAGTTCAATACGTATGCTTGTTCCGAAACCAGATAAAACTTTCCGTATGTACACTGATTATAGGAAGGTGAACAATGTGACAAAAACAGATTCATTTCCATTATCAAGAATCGATGACTGCATTGATAAAATTGGAAATGCCAAGCATGTCACCAAATTTGACCTGATGAAAGGATTTTGGCAAATTTGCTCGTCCGGGATCTGCACCCGGGACCTCTCTACACTATTCCGACTGACACAATCCTGAAACTAAGTCTGATAACAAATTTGCAGAATGGAGAGGAACATTAGCAAAGCCGCACTCTACTCCCTGAATGAGAACACTCTCATTAAAAGAATAATTCTCAGGAAAAAAAAAAGCAAAGTACCTGATAATACAAGACTCTGAGAAGCTCCTGTATCCATTAAATTTTTAATAGGGATAGGATTGACCAAATCACCCAAGAGTGATAGAGAACCCTTAGACATGAATGGTTCATAATTTTCCTTATTAAAATCAGACTGGGGCTTATTAGACCCAACAAATGTATTGCTTTCAATACATGTCCGTGACCTTGACCTCTTAGAAATAAGAGCATTTGGGATAGGTCTATCTTGACTCTGATGCTTATACTTCAATTTGAAGCAATTGGAAATAATGCGTCCTTTCTTCTTGCAATGGATACACGTAGGATTTTGAATCAAACTTATCAGAAGCTTGATTTTTAAAAGTCGTGCCAGACTGAGTTTTAGAAGTTGTATTATAATGAAATACCTTTCTACCAGTAGACTGCTGAGTAAAAGACTTGCTTACAACAGGAACTTTATGAGTTAAGAAATACTCAGCAGCAAGATCAGCATTTTCCAAGGTTTCGATCTTATGCTGTTCAAGATAGGTCTTAATGTCACTAGGGACAATGTTCTTGAACTCTTCAAGGAGTACAATTTGTTTGAGATTTTCATAATCATGCTCAACTTTCTTGGCTAAGCACCATCTCTCAAATAACTGCTATTTTTCTCTTGCAAATTCGACATAAGCTTGTCCATCTTCTTGTATTATAGTTCCTGATTGTTTGCCGGTAAGGATCAGGAATTAACCTATGACCCTTTAAGATGCATTCCTTAACCAAGTCATGGTTAGAACTTTGTCGTACTGACAGGGATGCAGAGATGTTTCCGGCTTTTCCATAGAGTACACACTGCAATAATTGAGTAAATTTCAAATTTCCAGCAACTCTTTCAAAATAAGGAAAATATTTGTCTACTTCCTTTTCTTTAAAAGGGGACACTAGTCAAAAATTCTTTGTAATATCAAAACTTGAATTTGTATGTGAAGTGGGAATGTGCCTTTCTCTTGCCAGGTCCATTTTTTTTTCATTCTAACTTAAAAATTATCTATCTTTCTCTTCTCTCACAAACCCTGGAAAAATGAACCATGCCAGGAAGTAGACAATTTCTACTAGTTTCTGTCCTGCAGTAAATATACGTTAGGGTCTAATAATCGTTCCGAACACAGCGCAGCATCTGTTCTCTTTTAATACCAGGTTCTAATATTTGAATGTGATGACCTCATCAGCCATTATTTGTACTATCAGAACTTTAACTACATATTTATGTTCTGGAAATTTATACAAAAATGATTAAATGATGCAATCTGAAATATAAAAAAAAAACAAGTTAAACATTTTATCTTGTAAAATTAGTTTCATGATGACGTTATTTAGCCCATGGTAGAAATGGGCTACTTACAGACTTGGTTTATTGTTCCAGGGTTTGTGACCGTAATGGTGAAAATAAAGGTTAATTCGCCGGATTGGATTCGTGCAATGGTCGTCCGAGAGTGATGCGTCGGCACGTTACTGTTTTATGAATGGATATGTATAGCTTTTCAGTCTTTGTGCGTTTCTGAAGGGATAAAAGATGCTTGAGAAGTTCGAATCGAACGGAAGGTTGTGGTCACGCTTGCATTCCTTGTGTTATTTATAATACCGTTAGGGTGATTTCATGTTGTCAGAAATTTCGTCGTGCTTTATTGATAAAACTTTAGAATCCTGTGTTTGTACATATTACGCCATAAATCACTACTTCACTCCTATACCCTATATTTTAAATACAAGAATTTCATTACACTAGTTAGAATTTCATTGTCACAATAGTCCCATTTTTGACGATTATGAGTTTTGTTGAGAGTTGTCGACCAATTCAGAGGTCTTGTATATCTTACTTAAGAAGTATTTTTCTTATTTGCATCAAATATATATTCGTGATAAAAAATCTCACGCATAATATAATTGTGGGCCCGAGAGCATAAACTAAGAAAGAATTCTGATGTACACAATAGTCTGTATTAACAACCTTTGAATTATTGAATCGGTATTTAGAATTTAGTGACACTCGTAAACCTGGCGGTTACGGGAAGATGTTGTTGTTGTTGTTGTTGTTGTTGTGGGGCTTAATGTCATTCTTCAGCACACGATAGGCTATACATGGCGGCCAGTATTAATGGTGGAGCAAGAAACCGGGAAATCCGCGGAAAGAACCACCGACCCACGAAAAGCTCTGGCAAGCTTTCTCACATATCCACATTCGCCGAATCTTAGACTCGAGTTTCGAACTCACGCAGAGGTGAGATGGCAGTGATCCGTAACGGAGAGCGCTTTAGACCACCCCCTCACGGGAAGATGAGATCTGTTTGAATCT